GTCATAAAGGTTAGAATGTTGCTCATTCTTGATATTGTTCCATGGAATAACAAAACCATGTTTAAAAATTTCAATTTTTATGTGAGAATCATGCATCATAGGCCCAGAAAGATATGTGGTGTGCTGTTTTGTTGAAGAGCTAGGCATAAACCATCAAACCAACATTCTACAGGAGTAGCACTGTAGCAGTTATGGAAATTACCATGTCAGTGATATTACTTGCCCAAATCCAGCTGATAATTAACCAGACCAAGCAATGCCAAAACTCAGCCAGTAAACCTATATGGGCAATGAAAAACATTTCAAATAAACAAGAGCTAAATGCTTCTATTGTAACACATAACTGATAATCAGATCCTCTTAAACCACAACAAAACAACAAGACCAGAACCCAAGCCCAGTGCAAAAGATTATCAAAAAGAACAAACCCAATTGCAAAACCATGCCTTCAATTCAACCCAAGTTTTCTTTCTAGTCTTTACACTTTACTAGCCACTGAAAACACAAACATCACAGCAAAACCCAACAAGAGACTTTCATTCACAACATTCAACCTGCAATACTGGCATTACTTACCAAATTTAAGCATTTTTTAAAATTATTTCCAAAGCTCATATTATTACTTGAAGTTGTGTTTTCAAAAGACAATTTCATAAATTTTACAATAAACTAATTGAAACTGTGTGTTTTAATATTTTTATAACACAAGTTTACAAAACATGGATTTGAGTTTGGGAGATAAATTCAAAAACTGCTTGAATTTGGGAAATAAGTTGTAAAACATATGGAATTGACAATAAATAAACAAAATCTGACATACAATACAGGCAATCAAAATGAAAATCATAGTATTAGATTAGAGACACACACAACACAACAACATACACAGAGAGAAATGTTGTAGCAAAACCAGAAATGCATTATATTGAAATGTAGAGTCATTAATTCTATTACATAAGCACAGACCTAAACAAAACCCAAAGCCTCAACCTCCAAAACCGTACAGAGTCCTCCCCTGCCTCTTGAGAGCATAGACAACATCCATGGCAGTCACAGTCTTCCTCCTAGCGTGCTCTGTGTAGGTCACAGCATCGCGAATCACATTCTCCAAGAAAATCTTCAACACTCCTCGAGTCTCCTCATAGATCAGCCCACTGATTCTCTTAACACCTCCTCTCCTGGCCAGCCTCCGAATCGCCGGCTTCGTGATCCCCTGGATGTTGTCTCGGAGGACCTTGCGGTGCCGCTTTGCTCCGCCCTTGCCCAAACCCTTGCCTCCCTTTCCACGACCAGACATTATTGTCGAATGGAGTGACAAAGATTGATGAGTTAAGTGAAATATGAAGAGAGAGAGATTGATTTGAATTTGATGAGATTGAGAGGGAGTGGGTGGGTGGGTTTATATAGGGAAGGTATGCGGGGTTTGAAATTTGAGCGGGGTAATTGGTAGTTGTTTGAGTTTTGGGCTTTTGATCGATGGTGAAGAGAGTCGATCCGTGTGTTGTTGTCTTCTTGATTTTGGTACGTTGATATGGTATAAATCGACGGTTGGTCTTGTTTTCATTACGCAGATCGTTGACGTGGATTGCGTTGCTTGCCTTTTCTTTATGTTTTTCGGCTTTGTTGCGGTTTGTTTTTTTTTGGAATGAAAATTATTGGGTAGTTGGTTTTGAAGTTTTTTTTTTGGTTAAAATAATTACAAAAAACAAAATAAATTTTTTAGTCTAATAAGATAGAATATTACATTTAATTTATAATCATTATATATTTTTTTTCACAAAAAAATTAAAAAAACTAAAACCCTTTTTAAACCAGACTTTTTAATCCCAAATTAAAATAATTAAAAAAATCAAAAAGTTAAAAAACAACTCACTTCCCAAACGAGTTCTTAGAAACATCTCCTAATCTTATCTCTCAACAATCATAATTTATTATATCTTATCATATTTTTAATTATTTAATATAAATTTGTAAGGTCACTTATTTCGTCAATCATAATATTGCTAAAATATCACCTAGTGATACCCCAAAACCAATAAATAACTTCTCTGTTTAAAAGGTGTTTCGGGGTAAAAAATATTTTTCTCCATAAATTTTTAATATTAAATCATATTTTAAAAGAACATTATAAATACACTTATTCATATTTGCTTAAAATATAAATTGTTTTCTATAATTTTAAAAATTACATTTCATCCCTTGATATTTTTAATTTCATAATAAATTTTATTCAATAAATCATTAAGTTAATTAGATTATTTTAATGATGTCAAAAATTTAATATTTTAATTAATAATTTAAGTAATTTTATTATGTTAGTAATGGGCGCCCATGTGGCATGACCATTAAATTTGATTTTGAATCCTTATCCAAATATGTTTTGATTTTGAAATCAAACCTATTTAGGATAACCACTCTTGAAACAAACGTTATCAGTTTGAACTGATATAGATAGATAGATATAATATATATTAGATATTATCTGTATCTTAACTGATATGGATAGATATTATAATATATTAAATATTTGTTATATGGTTATGGGTAATCCAAGAGAAAAACAACGTTGAGTCTGTTTCAACCCATACACTGACTCTCTCCCAAAAACACAACGATTAAGTCTTTGACACTGTGGTTAGTGTGGGTGATATTCAATCTGTGATATCACTCCACTGCTGGGTTGGTTCATCAAGAAGTTTCCTGGAAGCACGTGATTTATCCAAGAAGGTTCTATCATCAAGAAGGTATGATCTGATCATTTTAATCCGCTGCATATTCTGTGTTTTTTTTTTTCAGTTTACAATTGTATAAGAGATTGTTATAAAAAAAAATTCCTGTTAAATAAAAATTTCTAACAAGAATATATTTATAATTTTTCAAATCACATATATTTTAAGTAAATTTCAAGATGAGTATTTATAATTTATTCTATTTTAAAAGCATTGTCATTTGTCCTAAAAAAAATATGAATTACCTTAAGTTTAATAATTAAAAGGAAAATGTTTGAGGTTGTTAGGGCATTCCTAGCTGATGCCTTAAAATAGCTTTTTGCTATTATAAGGGATTGATTATTCAAAAATCCAATCTCATCAGATATCTAATATAATCCCTTATATTTAGGATTGTTGTAGTGACTTTCTATTTGTAGGGAGTCACTGTAACTCTCTCATATCTGATAAATTCTTATTTTATTTTGTTGAATACGCGAACATAGCAGCCCAAACAAGAGGTTGGATGTCCAGGGGGTTGACCTATCGGACGACCGGGCGAAGGTCTGGACGAATGACCTCACCTCTGTTTAAGAAGGAGCTTTTGTTCTAGTGAAGCCCATAGCCCATAGTAAGGATTAGACATGAACAACAAGGACATAAGACTCAAGAATTGAATTGAAGAAATAAGGGATCGAATTGAAGGAAGGCTAAGGAGGGTTGAGAAGGTTCTGAATTGAACACATTGGTGTTGTTGCGGTGGTGGCGGAGAGAGGCAGGAAGTGTAACATTATGAGTCTTTTGTGGGGGTGTTGTGGAGAAAGGGGTTTTTCTTGTTGATGGGTTGTTAGAATTGGGTTCATTCTCGAACTGGGTTTGCTTGGAATTTTGATGGGTTGGTTTGGATTGGATTGTTGAATGGTTTGGGGTTTGAATTTGGACGTGTTTTTGGTGGATTGAGTTGAAATTAGAAGAGATGAGATTGGTTTGTTTTATGATCTCAAGTTCAGACAACTTCTGATGCATTTACATACAAAGAAAATGGATTTCTAACACTTTCTCATTTATTATTTTATTATTAAAAAAATATTCAAATTTAAAAGCAATTGAAAAGATTATTTTAATAGAATAGAGAAAGAATATGGAGTTTGATGGAGAAAGTAAATGAAAAAATGATTCCTAAAATAGGGAATAAATTTTTTAATAATATTTTAGGGTAAAATTTAAGTGAACTGCTGGGGATGCTCTTAGAGCATCTCCAGCAAGGATAGTTAAAATAGCTATTCAAAATTTTACTTTACTATTTTAGCTAGTCATTTTTTTAATATACACTCCAACAAGGCTATCTACTTTAGCTATCTGTTATTAAAATATTCTTATATTTTAACTACCTTCTTTTCAATCTAAGAAAGAAAAAAAAAACTAACTTCTTTCAAATTATTATTTTTTTCATTCTTCTAAATATAATTATATTTTTGTGAAAGTTACATTTTTTTACTATTGTATTTTTCAAATGGTCATATTTTTTCAACGGTCATATTTTTGTAACGATCATATTTTTTCAAATTTTTACAATGGTCATATTTTTCCAACGGTCATATTTTTATACTTTTCCGTTATAAATAAGACATTTCCTATCATTTGATCTTACCCTCAACTCAATTTTCTACTTCATCCAAACTTCCATATCTCTCTCTATGGCTTCCAATTCTCTTTATGATATGCTTGTAAATGACTCTGACTTCTCTGAATCTGATAATGATTTGGAGATGCCCAAAGCTGTTACTATAGATAAAGAACTACTAAATAGTGAGATAGGATCAAACTCACGTCATTCATCGTAAAGTCATTCATCGTGATCATGTTAAAGGTCATGAAAGGCTTTTTCTCGACTATTTTGCTGAATCCCCTGTATATCCTCCTGAGCTATGTCGAAAGAGGTTTCGGATGAAGCGTTCACTTTTTCTTCGAATTCAAGCTGCAGTAGAAGCGCACGATCCATACTTTCTTCAAAAAAGAAATTGTGTTGGAAAGCTTGGTTTGCCTTCTCTTCAGAAGATAACTGTTGCACTTAGGATGCTTGCTTATGGAGTAGCAGCTGATTTTATGGACGAATATGTGAGAATTGGAGAAAGCACTGCAATAGAAAGCTTAAAATATTTTGTTAAAGCAGTTGTTGATATTTTTTCTAATGAGTATTTCAGGTCACCAAACAGCAATGACATCACTAAACTACTAGCGGTTGGTGAAAATTGTGGATTTCCTGGAATGCTGAGGAGCATTGATTGTATGCATTGGAAATGGAAAAATTGTCCGACTGCATTGAAAGGTATGTATACTGGTCACATTCATGAACAATTATTTTGGAAGCTGTTGCATCATATGATCTTTGGATTTGGCATGTGTTCTTTGGATTACCTGGGTCTCATAATGATATCAACGTGCTAGAAAGGTCTTTTGTATTTACCGAACTTGCTAAGGGGCGTGCTCCTGCAGTTAATTACACCATCAATGGTAATGAATATACAATGGGATACTATCTCGCCGATGGTATATATCCACAATGGTCAACATTTGTGAAAACAATTCATTCTCCTCAAGGAAATAAGAAAAAACTTTTTGCTACAGCTTAAGAGGCGACAAGAAAAGATGTAGAACGTGCATTTGAAGTGCTTCAAACACGATTTGCAATTGTGCGTCGACCAGCACATTTTTGGAATACTAAAATGCTTAAATACATTATGAAGGCGTGCATAATTCTACATAATATGATCATTGAGGATGAGCGGGATGACAATGGAGTAAAAGACTTCAATTATGATCAAATCGATGGCAATCCCCATGTAACAGTGTTACAGGAGAGAACTACTGAACTTATGGAATTCATTCAATGTCATCATAACATTAGAGATAGGCAAACGCATTCTCATCTTCAATCGGACCTTGTCGAACACTTGTGGCAATTACACAGCGAGTTGTAAAAGCTTGGAATTTGAAGTTTCATTTTATGTAGTATGCTATTAGTTTTGAATGTAATCAGTATATGCTTTTAATCTATGCATAATTTTATAATTCTATATGCTTTTTAATTATATGATTTTCACTTTAATTATATGCCTTATATATATATATATATATATATATAATTAGCAATGTAGAGAAAATACAGCACAAAATAGCAGCAAAAATACCAGCAAAACAGTAGCAAAAACACCACAAAAATAGCAACAAAACAGTAGCAAAATCAATTCAAAAACATGTAGCAGATTTACACTTTAACTATTTTGCCAAGTTTACATGTATTCTCCTTCAAATTTCCATTCAATCTTGGGCAATATTATATTTCAATTCAAATTTCCACTCCAGTCAACGGATTTACAATAGTCAAACTATTTGATTCTCTCCAGTCAACAGATTTACACTTGGTTCTCACAATGCTTTCAAGGTTTAACTTCAATCTATCTTTATAAATGTTGAGATTAAATCATGTTAAAAGTTATGTTTCATCAAGCACTATAAATGTTACTTATCAGAAATAACTACTGAAGTGTTATTATTGTTATGTGATAGTTTAAAAATACCCTCCAATTTGACCAAATATACACCAGAAACATGAATCTGATTCTTTCATGGCTTCATTCCATTCCAATTTAGGAAACCAAAATTATACTAATACAGCCCTTACAGTATAAAATATTTATCTAGCAACTATTCAGAAACTTCAAGTTTCCGATGAACATGGTCCCACAATGGATCAATTTCCGAATATCACAGCAATTTCATATGGATAAGACTTCAGCTCACCAAAGATGCAAGAATTCAGAGGACTCCAGCTTACCAAATATGCAAGAATTCAGTGCGAGGTGAATGAAGCCTAACGACACCTTCCTTTTCAGATGCATTCCAGGGTTTTTTTATTCCTGGTTTTATTTTACTTTTTTTTACTTTCCAATAGTAGATGCATGCATGCAGTAATCATTTGGATAAAAATTAAAGAGACCTGCATTGGCATCCTAAAACTATAAATCTTTTATATATATACATCAATCCATTTCATTATGATTCTGCCCAACCACCAAACTACACCTCAAGCTTAAACACATCACTCCTCCCCAATATCATCTTTGATGATCATTCATCAATGCTCAAAGCTAAACCACAATTAATCAATTAGTATTGGTTGTTGCCCCGTCTCAACCACAACCTACTTTTGGATTCAAAAGCTAAGACACAAGTAACACTTAGTACTTACATTAAACAGCAGCAAAACAGCCCAAAAACACCATCAAAACAGCCCAAAACCACCAGCAAAATAGCAACAAAAACATATTAGAAAACATGTCAAAAATGGCAGCAACACAGCACAAAGAGCAGCAGAACAACACAGAACAAACAGCATCAGATTAGACAACTAACATTGCGTACCAAAACATTGCTGAGTTCAACATCTATCCTAGACAAAAGCCAAAATATCATATATCAAGTTTCTAGCCTACTAGACAAAAGCTAAAATATCATAAAGAGCAAAGAAAGAATGAATAATTCATTCTTATTTTCTTAATGATTTCCATCTGCCGAGCACGATAAAATTCTTGTTGGATTTCCGGCAAGCCACTGAGATCCATCAAAATAACTCTTTCGTCCTCTTTGAAAAGTTCTATTCCATGCTTTTCAAGTTCCACCTCATGCTTTTCTTGCATGATACGAAGTTCCATTTGTTTTTGAATGTACACTTTGTCGATCATTTCAATTTTCTTGTCAATCATTTTCTTTTTGTCTTGCTTGATGTCCTCCAAAGATTTTGTAATACTCGAATGTACGTTTTCTTTGTTCTTTCGTTTATTCAATCGCTCCTTTTCAGCCTTCCTACTGGTTGGTCTCTCAAAGTCTACAAAAGCATTAGGTGAGACATCGTCTTCCCCTAGATTTATTGAATTCGGAGTACAAGGAGAAGTGGTTGTCCCTGTTCTTGGTCTTTTTGGTTGTTTTTTCTTCTCAGATTATACCACCCATTTTGGTTGATCCCTTAACATAATCCAACAATGTTTTTTCATCTCCATTTCTATTTTGTACCCTGTTTTCATTATCTAACAGTCTTTCCTAAGGTGGTAGTACTAATTTGGTAATTGCTTGCTTTTGGGTTTTGCCTAAAGTTTGTGGCTAAGAGTTGGTGATGATGATGCTGATGTATAATTGAAGCAGGTTTTTTTGTTTAATAATATCAATCAACCTGCAAATTGTTCAATTACACTCAACTACCATTAATTTAGCCCATTTCAAAGTCCAATCAGGTTTATTCATTAAAATTTGTCTAAATATATGAATTTGTTTCCTCAGATTGTCCAACTACACACACAGAGATTAGCAGTTCAACTTTTCTGTCAACCGACATTGGTAGTTATAGATACAAACACTGCTTTGGTAGTTATAGATACAAACACTGCTCTATACTTGTTTTAAAAACTTTGTTAATTCTTACTACATTTGCTATTAACCACAGATTTTTAATAAATAATAAATAATAAATCATCAACAGTTAAGAAGGGTAAGAAATTATCAACTAACTAAGCACAAAATAAAAAATAAAATATTTTTTTATCAGCATATAGAAAACCAAATTAAGGACATTTTAGGTTGCACATGCACCAAACATATGGAATTTATATTTAAAGTGTTCTGTCTATGGAAAGCATTTAAAGTGAATTTATGTTTAATAGAATTTATGTCATATGGAATTCATGACATAAGAGAATTTAGGTTGCACATGTACCAAACATAAGAGAATTTATGTTTAAAGTGTTCTGTCTATGGAATTTATGTCAATAGAAAGCATATGAAACAAACAGAAATGACTATCTATATGAAAGCATATGAAACAAACAAACAGAAAGCATAAACTGGGTACAATTTACAATCTATATTCTAACAGAAATTACAACAAACATATGGTGTGCAATACAAATACATAGACAAACAAACAGAAATGACAAAATTTATTACCTCCCTTGAGCAAAAAGTTTGAGAAAAAGATAGAGAGGATAAGAGAGTCTGTGAGATTTGGAATGCTTTCTCTATGGATTTGTTGGGAAGGTATTGATACAACTTTTAGCGCCAAAATAAGGGAAAAATTTTACCGCCAAAAACAAAATTCAGGAGCTAAAAACAAATAAAAAATTAAAAGGTCCATGAATAGTACCTCGCTTGTCCTGGCAAGGTACTGTAGCTCACAACCATCTTAGCGATGCTTGAGCAAGTCCGCTGGAGCCATCTTTTACCCTTCCAAGCTCGTTTCTATGGCTGACAGCACAAAATGACTATACTACTGGAGATGCTCTTAGAAAAATTTCTCCAATTTGAAATTTGACCCACAATAATGTTAATAGTTGTCATTTGGCTAGGACTTTGTTAGCTATCTTTTTTAAATTGGGATTTTTTTAGCTGGGACTAAAAAGTTTGTTTGGGTTCGTTTTTTTTCTTTTTTTTATAAGAGAAAAATGAAATTATTATAATTTGGATATAACAATTCTTTTATGTTTTTTTAGTCTTAAAAGCCCTAGCCAAACACAACCATATATTACTTTGAGCTAAAATAGCTACATAGGACAAAATTGGCTATTTTTGTCAAATAGGACAAAATGTCATTTCATTTTTTCTCTAAAAAGAGTCAATAAAACCAAAAAACTTATTCCAAACGAGACTTTTTAACCCAAGCTAACATAGTTAAAAAGCTAAAAAACTAATCCACATCCCAAGCGAATACATAAGAGCATCTCCAATGGCAAGCTATTTGAGCTGCCATTGCCAAAATTTGACAAGATTTCTAAAAAATTTTACTCCAATGGGCTGCCAAACTTGCCACATCATCCAAATAAACAGAATTTGGCTCCAAAAATTTCGTGGAAGAAATAAACACAATGGAACAATAATATACCAGAGATGGAACAATAATATAATAAATAAATAAAAAAAACACAGTGGAACAAAAAATTTGCCATTACAATAGATTTTTGGAGGAATGAATTATATTTATTTTTTTTTTCATTTTTTATATTTGTCTAGTTGGGTATAATGAAAAAATATATATATTTTTTACAAATAGTTAAAAAAAGGTCACCAAAAAAAAATCACAAAAAAATTTATATCCAAACAATATCTACAATTTTGAAGGGAAAGTTGGTTGAGATTTGCCAAAATAGTATGTGTATCATTGAAGCACCATTATTATAATTTGACAAATTATTACTATTCGTTACTAAATTATAGCAATAACAATAATATTATAGCAAATCCCTTTAGAGATGCTCCAACAACTGGTAAAGCGGTGATGTGAGCTTATGGGTGTGTTCACACATTGTGTTCAATTTTTTTAATTTTTTATTTTTTAGATAGGACATAGTGTTCAATTTTGGTGGTTTGTTCGAGTATTAGTTGGAGGGGTTTGAGGTAAAAGATTTTGAGAAAATTTAGCCCAAATTTGAGGGGAAAAAAAAGAGAAGAGTTTTTTCTTCTCCGTGCTGTTTTGTTTTTAGTAAAAAAATTTAGTATTTTAAGAATTTTTTTTTATTTTTTTAGATATGCCTGATCTAAATACTTAAAAAATACTTTAAAAAGTATAATATTTATAGAAAAAAATTAATCAAATATAAAAAAAAAAACAAAAAAATAAAAAAATTTAGTACATTTTCATACTCTTGTGTGTTTATTGAAATTTTTAAGTATTTTTTATAAATATTTTAGTTTTTAGGTGTATAAAAAATTTACTTAAAAATATTTTTAAAAATTCACTAAAAAAAATTACAAAAAAAAAAAAATTGATTTTCAAAAAATCAATCAAAACAAACAAGGTAAATAATATCTTGGACAATGTGGCATGTGATGGATGCATGTGCTTATTCTGCTGAATACTCTCTTCACGCACATCTTACTTACATGTTTTGTTTAGTTCACACGTTATTACAAGTTTGAATGGGTATTATCATTTTGGGTGATCAAATTAAGGAAAAAGGATTATAATACTCTTCTTATAAAAGGAATGCTTGTGTGCATGTGAATGTGTTTTGTTTCATTCTAGTTTTTTTTTTAGTTCAAATGGCTGCAATTTTGCCGTGATTTGATTAAGGAAATTTAAAATTATGTCAGCCAAACTTAGGATGGATTGCACTAAGTTTTCTTATAAAAGAAAGAATAATGACTTGGACCACCTTTTTTTTCCCATTCCCTTAACCCCCTCTTCACTTGATTGACTACTTTTTCTTTCTTTCTTTTTTTTATTCTTTCTCTTTCAATCACCACCCGCCACGTGTCTGTAGGGAGGTGGTGAGGGTGGTGATTGGAGGGGGTCTCAATCATCACCCATAAAAGAAATGGCAAGCTGGCAACTACTTCTTCTCTTTAGTAGAGTTACAAATGAACAGAATTATTCGTGAATAGACTGAAGTTCGACTTAGTGAAAGCTCATTTAAACTCGATTCGTTAAATTTTTATTATGTTCGAGCTCAAGTTTAATCTCATTAAAATCTTAATAAACGAGTCCAAACATACTAAAGTTTGGCTCGTTGACTGGTTCATCTAATGTTTATTTAAATAATAATATAAATACATTATCGATATATTAAATAATTTTAAATATATATGTATATATATATAATAGGGTAAATATGTTATTTATATATTTAATAATATAAAGATAAATAATAGCTAACTATATACATTCATATAATAGTAGTGATATATATTATTATCTTTGTAAGGTATTATTTTTTTTTTATTATGTTTATATATATTGTATATATAATTGTATAATCAAAATTTCAATTTTAACTTTAGTTTTATATGCAGGTTTTTTTTTTTTTTTTTTTTAAAGCGTCTCATATACAAGTATGAATTTATAATTTCTTTGGCTCGTGAATAGGCTCGAGCTCAGGTCAAGCTTAAGCCAACTCAACTTGAGCTCGAACTTGTTAAAATCTTAATAAGTAAATCCAAACATATTAAAACTCGACTCGACTCGTTTGCAGCCCTACTTTTTAGTTCAGTTTAGAGAGGAGACAATGTTGGGAATTCTTTTGGGGTGGTCCTTGTAAGACCATCTCCAACGTTGATGGAAAATAGCCTCTTTCGCTACTCTAATCATTTCACCAAATAAGCATGGCCGGCCCTGGGGCATAGGCCACAAGGCTATGGCCTAGGTCCTTCAAAATAGACTAAAAAGAAGGGCCCCTTCTATTATAATTTAGTATAATAGTTAGATATGCTTTAAGTCTAAAAAAAGACCCAAACTAACTTAAAACAAATTGACCTATTAAAAAATTGAAAGGCCATTCAAAAACAAATAGCATTGTTATCTATTGAAAATAGATCCAAAAAAGGGGTCTCTCTTACTATAGTTTAGTCTAATATATTAAGTCCAAAAAAAATTAAGGCTGACCCAAATTAACTTAAAATAAATTAATCCATTAAAAAATGAAAGTCCCATTTAAAATAATTAGTATTGTTATTCATTGAAAATAATTTTACAAAAAAATTAGATTATGCAAGTATGATTGATTTATTTGCTTCTAAAAATACAGGAAGAGTGAGAATCAAGCGATACTTATTAGTTATTGTAATGTAATGCTAAGTATTTTTTGTGATTTTGACACAAATCTTTTGTCCTTTACTTTCATTTTTTTTTTTTCATTCAATGAAAAAAAAATGTGAAGGGCCCCATAAATTTATTAGTTGATTATCGGTTTGGGGCTCCGAAAATTTCAAGGTCGGGCCTGCAAATAAGTATCAAATTGAGAATATGTTAAATTTTTTACCATATTGAGGATGGCTAGGAGCTTTCATCAATTCACTGTTCATGGCCGTTGCATTTTTACCACCGAACGACCGGTCGGATGTCTCCTTGGATGACCATCTCCTTGCAAAAATTTGTAAAAAAGTTACACTAGCCGATCGACCGGCCAGGCATCCGCCTGGTCCATTCGGCCGACCGGTGCTTTGATGAAAGTTCAAATTCATCCGTTGGAACGTGTGAT